ATTTCATTTGTCGTAACGCAAATGGCTACAAAAACATGTTTGTATAATTTGTTTCAGTTATTAAATATGTTTAATTGTACTTCAATAAGTGGGGTCACTTAGAAATTATTTTAGAACAAATATAAAATGTATGATGTTTTATGACAAATAAATATATTATTTGTTTCAATTATTAGATATGTTTTACAGTATTTCAGTAAACGGGTCACTTAGTAAGGTTTTATTACAAATATAAAAATAAATACCTTTTAATACAAATATAAGATGCATGATTTTTATGGTTTCATAAAATGCATGTATGATTTATTTATATTACTAGATGCTTAATAGTACTTCAATAAAAGGGGTCAGTTGGGAAGGGTTTATTATAGGATGATTTGGAAAGGTTTAAGTAAACAATAAATAATTTTGAACAATAGTAGTAGGTCCCCCTCCCCCAGCCTCACACATGTAATGGCCTAGGTGCTTGTAAGAATTGTATCAAAAAAATAATAACAATAATTTTAAACACTAGTATAAAATATATGATTTTTATAGCTGCATATAATGTATGTATGATCTATTTTAATTACTAAGTGGGTGTTTGGATAACCATCGAGAAAAAAAAAATTTAATTCATCTATCAAACACGAATATCGATACAAAATAAATACGACCCATAATATTTTAACTCATATTTTAAAATTTATCTTAAACAAAATTTTTACACAATTTTTAGTCACCATTATCGGACCTCCTCCACCACCACCACCGAGCTGCCACCTTCTACCGCCGGCCGTCGCCGCAGCGTCGCCGACAGATTGTCGGCCGACAGGGGCTAGAGGTTGTCCGGCAGTGGTGAAGGTAGTTCAAAAATATTATATTTTCACTCAATCCACTTTTTAAATCTCCTCCCAAACTTAAAACAAAAATAAAAATAAAAATAAAAAGTAGTCTAAACAAACCCAAAGTTTAATCAATAGACGAGGTCAGTGAAGGATTTATTACAAGACCAAAGATCTTTTACACCACAATCATATGCCACTTCGTACATCATTTATAAAGATTTTGACACGTGACTTCGACGGGTTCATCCAATGGTAGGTTTGGGTGTTAGTATTTTTTTTTTTTCGAGAAATCAACACTGCGTGCTTTATGAATGTGCCAAAGTATGCACCAAGCAGATATGCTTACTAGTACTTCAGTTAACGGGGTCAGTGTGGAAGAGTTTATTAAAAAGATGAATTAAAACGGGATGATTTTGAAGGGTCTAATTAAAAATAAATAATTTTTAACAAATTTATAAATCTATAATTTTTATGGTTTCTTAAAGTGTATATATGATTTGTTTCAATTACTAGATGCTTAATAGTATTTCAATAAAAAGGATCACTTGGGAAGATTTTGTTACAGGATGAATTGGAACATGATGATTTGGAAATTTCTAACTAACAATAATTAATTTTCAACACAAATATAAAACATAATTTTTTTTATAAATATATATATATAAGATGCGTGTATGATATTTCAATTACTAAATATTCTCAATAGTAGTTCAATAAACGGGCCATTTCGGAAGGGTATATTACAAGACCAAAGATCTTATGCATCATAATCCTTTACGACTTCCTACATCATTTATAAAGATTTTGACACGCAGCTCAACAGGTTCATCCATGGGTGAGTTAGGGTGTTAGTAAAACTTTTAAAGAATGAAAGTAATAATTAAATTTCAAAATGTAAAAATAATATATGGTCAATAGTGCTTCAATAGACCAGGTCACTTGCGGAAGGTCTAATTAAAACTAAATAACACAATTATCAAATGCATGATTTTTTATGGCTATATAAAATACATGTATTATTTGTTTCAATTACTAAATATGCGTTATAGTATTTCAACAAACGTGATCAATTGGGAAGAGTTTTTTACGAGATGAATTAGGACATGATCATTTTGAAAGGTCACATTAAAAAAATAATGTTTAACACAAATATAAAATGTGTGATTCTTTATGTATATATAAAATGCATGTATTATTTTGTTACAATTACAAGATATGCTTAATAATACTTCTATAACGTGGTCACTTGGGAATGATTTATTACAAGATAAATTGAAACTGGGTTATTTGGAAAATTTCAACAAAAAATATATAATTTTTAACAAGAATAAAAAAATGTATGATTTTTATAGATATACTATTATTTGTTTCAATTACTGGATACGCTCAATAGTACTTCAATAAGCATGGTCACTTGGGAAGGGTTTATTACAAGATGATTTGGAAAGATCCAACTAAAAGAATAATTTTTTACACAAATACAAAATATATGATTTTTATGGCTATATAAAATAAGTGTATGATTTTGTTTTAATTGTTTAATAATATTTCAAGATATGTGATCAGTTGGGAAGGGTATATTACAAAGCAAAAAATCTCCTGCACCATAATCCTATACCACTTTCTACATCATTTATCAAGATTTTGATACCGGGGCCCAACGGGTTCATCCAATGGCGAGTTAGGGTGTTAGTAAAATTTTTAAAGGAGGGTAGAGTTAATTAAGTAAAAAAAATGTAAAAATATTATATGGTGGATTAGGAAGTGTTGTAGGAAATCCTTAGTCTTTTTATAAGATGGATGGGAATGAGATTATTTGGCAATGTCTAATGAAAAATAAATAGTTTTAACACCAATATAAAATTTATTATTTCTATGACATATAAAACGTATGTATGATTTGTTTCAGATACTAGATGCTTAATTCGATTTTAATAAAAAAGAGTTACTTGTGAAGGATCTCTTACAAGATGAATTGAAACGGGATGATTTAGAAAGGTCTAACTAAAACTATAAATTTTAATAGAAATACTAAATACATGATTTTTATGGCTATATTAAATGCATGTAAAAATTTGTTTCAATTACTCAATAATATTTCAAAAAACTAGATCGGTTAGGAAGGGTTTACCACAAGGCAAAAAATCTCCTATACTATAATCCTACAACATATCCTACATCATTTATCAAGATTTTGAAACCAGTCCCAACGGGTTCATCCAAAAGTAGGTTAGAATGTTAGTAAAATTTTTTAAAAAAGGAAAGAGATAATTAAGTAGAAAAATGTAAAAATATTATATGGTAGATTAGGAGTTTTGTAGGAAATCCTTTGTCTTTTTATAAGATGAATGAGAATGAGATCATTTGGAAAGACCTAATTAAAAATAAATAATTTTAACACAAATATAAAATTTATTATGTTCTATGACATATAAAATGCATGGATGATTTGTTTCAATTACTTGAAGCTTAATTCTACTTCAATAAAAAAAAGTTACTTGTGGAGGATCTATTACAAGATGAATTGGAACGGGATGATTTGAAAAGTTCTAATGAAAAAAATATTTTAACACAAATGCAAAATATATGATTTTTATGGCTTATAAAATGTGTGCAAGAATTATTTTTAATTATTCAATAATATTTCAAGAAACAGGATCAATTGGGAAGTGTTTATTACAAAGCAAAAAATCTCCTACATTATAATCCTACTCTACTTCCTGCATCATCTACCAAGATTTTGATACCGGGCCCCGACGGGTTCATCAAAGGGTGAGTTAGGATGTTAGTAAAATTTTTAAAGAAGGAAAGAGATGATTAAATAGAAAAATACAAAAATATTACATGGTCAATAGTAATTCAATAAACGGGATTAGTTGAGAAGGGTTTATTACAAGATGACTTGGAACGAGATTAATTGAAAAGGTTTAATTAAAAATAAATAACCTTTAACACGAATAACATATATATAATTTTTATGGCTATATAAAATACATGTATTATTTGTTTCAATTACTAGATATGCTCAATAGCACTTTAATAAACGGGGTTACTTCGAAAAAGTTTGTTACACACTGAATTAAACAAGATACTTTTGGGAAGAGTTTATTACAAGATAAATTAAAACGGGATCTTTTTTGAAAATCCAACTAAGAAAAAAATAATTTTTAACACAAATAGAAAATATATGATTTTTTATGGTTATATATAATATGTGTATTATTTGTTTCAATTACTTAATATTCTCAATAGTAGTTCAATCAACGGTGTCAGTTGGGAATAATTTTTTACAACGCAAAATATCTCATACACCATAATTCTACATCACTTTTTTCATAATTTATCAAGATTTTGACACGTAACCCTAACGGACTCATTCAAGGGAGGTTATGGTGTTTGTAAAAGTTTTAAAGAAATAAATTAATAATGAAATAGCAAAAATGTAAAAATATTATATGGTAGTTTAGAAAGTGTTGTAGAATTATGGTATAGGAAATCTTTAGCATTATTATAAGACGAATTGGAACGGGATCATTTGAAAATTTCTAATTAAAAATAAATATTTTTAACACACATATAAAATGTATGATTTTTTATGGCTGTAAAAAGTGCATGTATGATTTGTTCAATTACTAGATATATTCAATAGTACTTTCATAAACAGGATCACTCGGAAAAGATTTATTATTTATTACAAGTTGAATTAGAACGAGATCATTTGTTAAGGTCTAGCAAAAAATAAATAAGTTTTAACAAAAATTTAATTTTTAACACAATTATAAGTGATGGAATCTTTCAAGTTTTTATAAGCAAATCACAAATTTTTCATTGGTGATTATGATTTTTTTTTATTTTTTTCTCAAATCTTACATATATATATTATTGGAAAATGATTTGAAGACACGTGTCACTTAATTCAGCCACTAATAAACTTAAAGTAATTTGTGATCAATTTATTAATAACAAAACCTTTTGGGATTAAACTATTGAACGAATTAAAATTCATATCCATGCATATTCTGAATATGATTGATGTAAAATTTAATGTAAATTCATATAATTAAAAATTAAACAGAATAATATCTATACCCCGTTTGCAACACACGGGCCAGTACTAGTTAAATGTAAAACATAAAAAAAAAAAAAAAAAGTAAGTATAAAAGATATTTGCCAGCAAATTGTAGATATGGAAATGTTCTATTACAATGAAACTACAAAATTTTGTTGACTCCCATTCCATAAATTAGATAACGACATTATCCAGCAAGCTAGATAGAAATGGACTTTCAGTCAACAACAAAACACTTACACAAAGAGCAATCTTTCTCCATGAAACAGAGGAAGATAACCTTTCATCATCTAATTCACAATTATCATCGCCTCAATCACCTTCAATCATTACAATCCTCAAACATAAAGCAAAAATCTGAATCCCAACTCTCCGTTTCAACTCCGGCCAAAGCCATAAGAGCCCCCCGTTTCAATTCCGGCCAAACCCCTCTGTTCTCTGCCTCCCTCAATACCTTTTCCATAATTAGATAATATAATCAGATGGATTCAATCATCGATAAGGAGAGGCAGGAGAAGGAGAATTCAGAAGAGGATAAGGCCACAAGAAGAAAAAGGAAGTTTACATGTTTGATGATCTTTTTCATTGCTCTGTTTTTCGTTATAATCGTTTCAGTCATCTCAGTTTTTGTAGCCATCAAGAAAGATTTAGATGCCGAATCACTTTCAGCTTCACACCCAAAGGAGCACATCAGAACCATCTGTGAACTAACCACGTTTCCCAATTCATGTTTCAAACCCATATCGAAACTCCAATCGAATTACTTGACCAAATCCAGAAAAACAAACCCGACTGCCATTTTCATGTTCTTCCATCAGGCTGCTTTTGATCAGCTTAACATCGCCATTTCACGGAGTGGATATGAATACTCAAATATTCTAACTCTTGAAGAAGACTCAGCGGTCGAGTCAGCAAGTTTGAAACTTTGTAATATTTTGATTTGGGATTCATTGACACAAGTAAACATGTCTATGGCGTTGTTGGAAGCTGATTACTCTGTAAATGAAATGTTCAGATTAAGGAAGATAAAAGTTGATTTGGAAAGATTGATTGTGAATGCTACGGATAATATGAACGCCTGTTCGAGATTGGAGTATGTTTCTGAAGAATTAAGGATGAAGATATCTGATTCAGTGGAGTATTTGAATAATTGCGAAGAGATTCTCAGGAAGATGGACAGAGTTATTGAGATGTTCAACCCACCTCTGTTTCCGGGTGTTTTTGTTTTCGGTTATGAAAGTGTGAGTATGTTGATCGTGTTTTATGGCTCCCCATATCTGTTCTTGCTTTTTCTTCTTTATAAATTAATTAGAATGCTGAAATGATGTTGAAGAACACTGTCCTTCATGATGGAGTAGTTTTTTTGCTTTTATCTTTTTTCGTGATTTTCGATTTCCAGAAAATTTTTATCTATTTAATTTTTTTTTTTTTTTGGAGATGAAAGTTGGTTTTCATTTCATTAATTGTTGTTGATTAAGTATGATCTCAGATTTCCTCAAGAGTTCTATACAACACGAATATCTACTAGTTACAACTATACATCTATAGAAAAAGAATAAATATTCACTATTCATTTGAATTGGGGGAGATTTTATCAAATATGTTCTTTGTTAGTATTTTTCATTTTAGAAATTTTGGCAAGAGTGATTCATGTAGAATGAAATACTATGAATCACCTATGCTTTAAATATATATATATATATATATATATTGTGAAAAATAACACGACTTCTCACTCCTAAATGTGATAAATCGCAGTAACTACCACTCTCTAATAATTCTTCCTTTAAAAGAGCTTGATTCTATGTTTCTGGATTCTATGTTTATTGATCAATCGAAAATATTATAGTTCCTCAACCTTGAAGAACATGACCCACAAAAAAAAAAAAAAAGAAAATGAATTTGTGCCTGGAAATGAGGTTTTTCTTTTGGGAAATGATTGATACTCTCTCGTCCTAAATTAAATATATAATTTTTTCTATCTCCAATTATTCGTAGTAAATGTTTAATTCAACCGCCATAGATTAAAAAATTAATGTCGGTGAAAGAATAATTCAACGACTACTCTACTTATCGTATTAATCAGTATCGGACACTTAACTAGAAAAATGGACATCACTTTCAATCTTTAAAGTTTAAAAGTGTATTTGATCAATAATATCAATTCATAGCTGAAAAGTTTTCCACATTGACCTTAAAGGTCTTCGCGGTGCATTGACCGCAAAGACTTCTAATAACAACAAATTTGGGCCATTTATTATTATTTTCTGCCTAATCTCACCCTCGCGACAAAAGAAAAAAGAAAAGAAGAAGCGGAAGAAGAAAAGAAAAGAAAAGAAAAAATTGCATGCTTTTAAGTTTTAACTTTTAGATAGCAAATTAGACATCACATCCTTTTCATAATTATTTAACTTAGTTGAGTTAATAAAAGGATGTAACAACAAGATCCACATAGTCCGAATCTCAATGGAAAAAATCACCAAAAAAAAGTGAAAATAAAATAACTAAATGCCATATTTCCTTTATTTTATTATTTTAAAACTGCACTTGAAATATTTTTTTGTTTTTGGTTACAATCACTTGAAATAAAATAACTAATCTTTTTTTTTTTACTACACTTGAAGAGACAAAAATATCACGACAAAAATTTGAATTATGTGTCCATATCATGGTGCTTATTATGAAAATATATACTCTTCTTCTATTTAAAAATATATAACAAACAAAATAATTATTTTGAGACGATGAAACATGTAGTTTACAACTAGAAGTGATGAAGATCAATGGACCTTATCTGTCTACTGCATATTTCTTATTTCCCACTTTTTTCACTCCACTTTTTCCAGTTTATTAAACTCAATCAATGATATAAGCTAAATTTGAGGTTTCGATGGTGGGACTCGTCAACACCACCATATATTATTGCAAAAACTAGCGAAGAAGTGTAATCTTTTTGAATAAAACAAAAGAAGGCAGCCCCTAACTTTACTTTGATAATCTAATTAATTTCTACATACCCTTACACGTTTAATCCATTTGGCGACATTTTTGAGATAGGTCTGATCACTATCATACATACACAAAAAAAACAAACAAAAAGAACCGAAAACCAAAACTATGCTTAATTAAGACACATTTACATAGATTTTATCAAATGGCACGCCTTAAATTAGCTTAATGCTCAAAGTAAGTAGCCTCAAAATGAGAAAAAATTCTCCTCTTTTCAATCTCTAAATAGCTCAGCAACTAAATGGAAGCCATGATCAAAGGAGATAGGCAGATCAAGAACTTGGAAGGAGATGATAATAAGGCTGCGAGGAGAAGGAATAGTTTTACCTATTTGATCATCTTTTTCATCGTTCTCTTCACTATTCTAATAGTTTCCATCATCTCAATTTTTGTATTCATCACGAAAGATATTAAAACTGTATCATACTCATCAGCTTCACAGCCAGATAATCAACAAATCAGAACCAGAACCATTTCCAAGTTCTTTCTCCTTCTCCAGGCTGCTTTCAAGGAGCTCGACGATGTCATTTCATCAAAAGAAATGTCACTCTCCACTGTTAAATACTCGAAGAACCCGAAAGGTCTAAAGTTAGTTCTTTTGCAAGAATGTGACGGTTTGATTCGGGAGTCGATGAGACTGGTAAACTTATCATTAGAAATAGTCCGCGGAGCTGATCGTCATCATCGTCGCGGGGATGAAATATTTAGAGTAACCAAAACGAGAGATGATTTGAAGGAATTGATGGCGAATGCTACGGAAAATATGCGTCGGTGTTTGAATCCATTGATGGAGGATGTTGGTCTTCAAGGGTTGAGGATGAAGATGTTGAAGGCAACCAAGTATTTGAAGAGTTGTTTAGAGATCCTCGCAATGATGGACAGAAGAAGCAATGGCAAGCTGAGTCAAACTCATCTTTTTCAGGGTTTTGGTCGTTTTGATTATGAGGGTATATTTAAGGTTCTCTTGTATGGCTCACCATATTACTTCTTTCTTCTTCTTCTTTATTGGTTAATCAAATTGTTGAGATAATGATGTTGAGAACTTTTTATAGTTCTCCTGATTTCATGAGTTTGAAATAAAAGAGTGATTTAAGTTCGGCTCAATCATATATATATTGAGGGGGTCAGCAACATTATTGGGTCTTTATGATCACCGTTGATTTGAAAGTTAGACCGTTTCATTCATGGCGATCATAAATGTTAATTTTTAATCTCTCATTTTATGGCGATCAGATTAAAAAATTTATATTTCTTGCGTCGTGTTATTCCCTCCGTCATCAATCCTCTTTTTTACTATATTTTTTAGTCCAACAAAAGCAATTGGGGTTTTTTTTTTTTTTGGAAGGAGAGAAAATATTTCCTTAGAAAATAAATATTATGCATAATGTATGATACGTAATTTTGAATTTGTAGAACTATTTACAACCCCCAAAAAAAAATTGTAGTATACTTTTATCATATTAGTCAGTTTATGAGCTTTATTTTCATTACGGAAGACTTCCTGCCTTTTTTTTTCTTCTGGTTGAAAAAAATATTCATTAACCGAGAATTCACAGACCAGATGCTTTCATTTTGCACTAACAAACTAATAATACAAAGTACTTTACAGACTTAATTAGTTCCTACCTTAATTTCCAAGGAAAAGGTGTGTATAATCATTTATACAAGGAGTTTTTTCAAAACCTTTTATTTACTTTCCACTATAAGAAAAGGAAAAAAATGATATTGCTTACCCCAGAAAAAGAAAAGGAATTCAGAAATTTCTGTGTAATTTAATCATTTCGTGCTTGGAAAGTTTCAAAATGTTGACCCTGAATGGGGGTGTGTGGACCGTCATTGTTAATAGATGGACCAGGACCAACTTTTAATGTGTTGTCCTAGAAAAAAAATATGCAAGAATTTTCTTTCTCTGTTATGGAAAAATCATATTAAATTTCGAAATTTGTATTTCCTTCTTGAGACTGATGAAATATAGAAAAAAAAAGAAAAAAAGAAAAAGCAATGTTAGAATTCATATTAATAAGGTAAATGGTTTCGCATTTGTACCAAGTGCATAATACACTAAAAAAAACAGCCACTCCAAAGTTGGATGTTCTGTTGCAAAGAAAACTACATCATTTCAGTCTACAAAATGGATTTGTTTACTTCCCATTCCATAAATTATAGTTCACAACATTAGCCATCAAGCTAGACTAGAAATGGACTCAGCCAACACCAAACTCTTGGCAGAGCAATCTTCCTCAAGAAAACAGAGGAAGATAACCTTTATCATATCTTTGATCATCTTATTCACAATTATCATCTCCTCAATCGTTTCAGTCCTCTTAATCCTCAAACACAAAGCAGAATCTGAATCCCTACTTGCGCTCGCAACTCCGGCCGAAGCGATCAGAGCCGTCTGTTCTCTCATTCATGCCCCACCATCATGCTCAACATCAATATTATGGGGCTTTCAGAGCATCAATTATAATACTAGTAATTCACCATCAAACAATATTAGTCCATCTCAAATATTTGCTCTTTCACTTCTTGTTACTTACAAGGAGCTCGCAAACCTCAATTCAGATTTTCACAAGGTCATTCCTAAGGCCAAAGTTTCTTCAAGAAATATTGTATCATTAAGAAGATGCCAGAATTTGACCAGAGATTCATTGAGGCTGATCAACCAATCCATGATCTCAGTTGGGATTTCCCCGAAAGACGAAATCTTTAAGGATTTGGAAAGGGTTGGTAATCTAAAGAATTGGATCAAAACTGCTGATGAAAATTTGAAGGAGTGCTTGGATGAGCTTAAACTTGATCAGGAAAGATTGATTTTTGGGACAAACTTTTATTTGGCAAGAATGAAGCGTGGGGTGTTAGTGTCCAGGCAATATGTGATAACAAGCTCTATGATTCTGGAAGAGAAGGATGTCATTCTCGACATGTTCTACAATCCTATTCACATTCATACAGTTTTGTTTAACATAATGTTGAGTACGAGTGGATTTGATTTTAGTCTAGTGTTCTTTCCCTCTCAATATTTGGTGTTGCTGTTTTTGCTTTGCTTGTTTTTCCGGTTGTATTAGTGTTTCGGAATGGAAATTTCCGGCTTTTTCTCATTTCTACTGCAATTTTTTACTTTCTTTATAGAAATCTTCTTGGTGTTGCCTACTTGTCTGAAAAGTAAATTGATGAACAGAATCTAAGGACAAAATGCAACTGGTGTATAAAGTTTTGTAGTTACATTTCTATGTAAACAGATGTTGTACTGGGCTAATGAACTGGTTTTCGCCTTTCACAGTGATATGGTCATATGCTCGGATGGACACATCAAATTAGCTATAACTACTAACTATTTACCTACAGAAGTCGGATCCTGAAGTAGAAAATTCATTGAATTATGATCCCCACTTAATTTGTCAAGCAAAAAAACACGTAATACAAAACATGAGAAAGTTTAACATTAGTCACCAAAGTTCTTCAGTCAGATTTGAATTATTAACTACGACTAGTGAGTAGTGATACAGTCTAGCAATTCAATAAATATATCTAGATTCAAAATTTAGTAGATCTTTCTCGTTATTAGTCTATCCGTCCCATATAAATAGTCCAATTTAATAAAAAAAATTTGTTCTAAAAAAATAGTTCAGTTTCACAAAAATCAAAATTAATGAATTGAAATGACTTAAATATCTAAAAGAGTAGTGATAAGGAAAACAAGGGAGTTTTTTACCTAAAAAATTTTCTTTAAAAAAAGGTAGACTAAATTATTTTTTTTGAAATTTCTGTGGACAAATCTATATCCTTCGGATTTCCAAAATCCGAATCCGGGGTAAACTCGGATTTTGGAAATCCGAATTTAATAGAAAACGGATTTTGAAAATCCGAATTCATTTTAATTAAAACTAAAACTAAGTAAATTTTTCATTTGTCATAATTAATCACAATTCGGATTTCTGAAATCCGACTTTATGAGTAAAATATTAATTTTTGAGGAAAATTTTTTTGTACAAGTGTTGGTAATTTTTTGGAAACGAATCGGATTTCCGAAATCCGAATCTTCCATGTTTCCCTGATAAACTAGGATTCTAGAAATCCGAACCTAAACCCTAAACCCTAAATCCGAGTATATGTTACACTCGGATTTTGGTAATCCGAGTATATGTTGCACACGGATTTTGGTAATCCGTATAAAGGTTACACTCGGAGTTTGGTAATCCGAGTATAAGTAACACTCGGATTTGGAAAATCCGAAGTTAAACCCTAAACCCTAAACCCTATGGCCTTATTTTGAAAATCTAATTTTTTGTTTGACTCAGATTCTGAAAATTCGACTATTTGCTTAAAAGGTACATAACAGTAGTACAAATAGATTATATTGAATTAATGATAATATTTAATAACTAACAGATTTAACAATAATAAATAACAGTAATATCACTAATGTATAATGAGTATTAGTATTAATGTACTACATAATACTAGAACGTACAAATAGTACATAACACTAATACAGATGAATTATACTGAATTAATGATAATATCTAATAACTAACAGATTTAGCATTAATAAGTAACACTAGTACTAGTAATATATAATTAGTATTAATATTAATGTACTACATAAAATAATATCAGTACGTACAAATAGTACATAACACTAATACAAATAAATTATACTAGATTAATGATAATATCTAATAATTAATAGATGTAACAGTAATAAGTAACACTAGTACCAGTAATGTATAATGGGTAATAGTATTAACGTACTACATAATACTAGTACGTACAAATAGTACATAACACTAATACAAATGAATTATACTGAATTTATGATAATATCTAATAACTAATAGATTTAACAATAATAAGTAAAATTAGTACCAGTAATGTATAATGGATAATAGTATTAATGTATTACATAATATTAGTACGTACGAATAGTACATAATACTAATACAGATAAATTATACTAAATTAATGATAATATCTAATAATTAATAGATGTAACAGTAATAAGTAACATTAGTACCAGTAATGTATAATGGGTAATAGTATTAATGTACTACATAATACTAGTACGTACAAATAGTACATAACACTAACACAGATAAATTATACAAAATTAATGATAATATCTAATAACTAATAGATGTAACAGTAATAAGTAACACTAGTACCGGTAATGTATAATGGGTAATAGTATTAATGTACTACATAATACTAGTACGTACAAATAGTACATAACACTAGTACAGATAAATTATACTGTTTTTGTGATAACATATAATGACTAACAGATTTAACAGTATAAATAACAATAGTACCAATAATATATAATGGGTATTAGTATTAATGTACTACATAATACTAGTACGTACAAATAGTACATAACAACAGTACAGATAAATTATACTAAATTAATGATAATATATAATGACTAACAGATTTAACAGTAATAAATAACAATAGTACCAATAATGTATAATGAGTAATAATATTAATGTACTACATAATACTAGTACGTACAAATAGTACATAACACTAATATTCTGAAAAATTTACATTTGTCCACATTTATTTTAATTAATTTTTTAAGGAAAAGACCCGAAAACAAGGTCCACTTTCTTTAATTTTTATTTTTTTTAGTTTTCTTCTATTTTTTCAAATGATTATATCTTTTAATACATGAATAATTAAAAAATGTGTTATATATCAAATTAATCTACGTAAGGAGATCTTTCCATCAAGATCCAATATCAATATTTTTTGAGATAAAAATTTTGATCAAATTTAAGTTGTAAAATAAATGCATGTGTAGTTCACTTTTATAGAAATAACTAGGAGGGAATTAGTGAAAGTTAGGGACATAAAATGAATTGTACATTTGGTGTGTTGACCAAATTAAAAAAGTTATATATTTTCAAACTGGACTATTTTTCTGGGATGGAGGGAATATGTTTTTGCATTTCATGTGATTATTAATCCCTTTTACCCTATTAAAGCAGAAGACATGAAGCTTATGTGGCAGTTATGTATGTATCTGTTTTGGCTCCAATGCACCATATTTTAGATTTCAGGAGTTTTTTTTGCCACGTGTAAGTCTCTTTTAATTAGAAGCTATATAATTTTTTTTTTTAAAAAAACACATGTTTTGCTATAAATAAGGATCAGTTACATTTCAAATGAATGGATATATTAATTCAAATTCAAATGTCCAATCGTATAGTTTTGCAGGCTTAATATAAACAAAAAAATAAAAAAACTAATTATTTATTATTTCCTTATAACCTCATATTTATAGGTATATTTTTTTAAACTCCAAATCATAGCATAAATGATATATACGCCAAATTAATTCCTTAAAAAATAGTAATTCAATTAGATTTTAATAAAATAGTAATTTAGAAGGGGTGACCGGGCCAAACATCTGCCTGGGCCAAACATCTAGTTTATGTTATAAACGAACTTGTTGTCTTTAGAACTTTTCTAAAAGAATAATCATTTTACGAATCTTTTTTTTACTGGTCTGAAGTTTGAAACAAAAAGAATTATTAACTACCCGAACTATTAATTTATGAAATCATCATTTAAAGAAATTTTACTGTATCTCTTATGAATAGATTTTGTTTTTTGTTTTGATGAACGGTTAGTATTGTTGGAAATATTATTTCTTCCGTCCTTAGAGAGTTTGAGATAAGTTGTTACTCTAGTTAGTATGCTAAATTTTTATTTTTTTTTTTCAAAAACAAGTGATGATTTTCTTGAGAAAATTAATCGTGTAACGGACCTAATGTTTGATGAATTACTTTTGAATGACTGTTTTGTCGAATAAGTGTTAAATCTTTAGGAGGTAGTTTTCAATTAACTCTTTCTCGTTTGAGAAGTATCCTCTTTTTTATTTGATTTTGTAATAATTATTTTCAAATTAAAATTTCGTATTCATGAAGCAAAAATGATACCAAAGACTGCTTTGAAGATCAGGATCTAATTGATGAGAGGGAAAAGAAAAAAAAATAATAAACAAAAAAGATAATAATTTGGGCAAAGTTTATCACAAATAAAAAAATTGGCTGACCAAAGAAGAAGAAGATAGGGAAATTGATCTGCCAGCCAACTTGCACATGACCTCAGAGTTCAAATCTATAATACTCTTTAGCGTTTACTCTTCTTCTTCTTCTGCAATTACCAAAACCCACCATTGATTTCAGTCCAAAAATCAATCAAAATCAGCCATGGACGACTTTCAAACCACCAGCAAACTCAATCTCATCCAACACCACCAATCTTCTTCATCGACAATCAAGAAAAACCAAATCCTCATCAGAGTATTCTTTTGTTTAATCATTTTATTAGCCCTTTTCACCGGCGCAATCATCATAAATCTAGTTTACAAATACAACATTTCCCAGCAGAAACTCCGAACCGACCAACACCGGGAGTTGGTCCGGGTCTTCTGCTACATGACCCGGCACCCGGATTCCTGCCTCCCGGCGGTTTCCATGTACGCGACTCCGTACATTCAGACCAGCCCAGATGATGTTTTCAATGCTTCTCTCCAGGTAGCCATTAAGGAACTACATAGCCTAACTTCATTGTCGAGGGCGCTGATTCTGAAGTCTGGCGAAGAAGTCGACACCGAGTCAATCCGAAACGGGTCGGCTCTGTTTTCGTGTTCGAGCTTGATCGACGACTCGCTGAACCAGCTCAACAAATCCCTAACGGTTTCGGCCGGGTTTTCCGTGTTCGGTACCGGGTTGAACCCGGACGAGGAAACGGCGGTGCAGGATAAGATCAAGGGGATGAAGCCGTGGATCAACGACGCTTGGCGTGATCTGTGGAGTTGTTTTGGGATCTTGGAGAAGGAGCAATCGACGGCTGGGATTGAATTGAGGAATGGGATGCAGAATCCGATTATGTATGTTGGGAATATTATTGATTTTCTGGAGAATAGGGATCGGATTCTGGGTGAAATCCGGTTTCAAGAACTGATGGCGGATCATTGCGACGGGTTTGAGTACTTGTCCACACTTGTTTTGTACGCTCCACAGTATTTTGTGTTGATTTTTTTGCTTTGTTTGTTTTTCAGGATGTATTGAATTTTTCTTTTTCTTTTTTTTTTTTTGCCCTACTGTTTTGTAAATTCATAGATATGGAATTTGTTCGGACAAAATGAAATACTAAACACACTTTTTTTGGCCTTTCCTTCTTCCTTTTTTGGGTACAATATAAAAGAGATGGATTATATGCATTTAAAAAGAGCAATAAACAATCACTCTCGATGGACATAAAGTTGCACCTTGATATGCGACGGATGGAGCAGCATACTTTTTGGTCTTTCTGGATAGAGGTGAATGAAAAGTACGCATCATTTATGTGCTTGAAGTTTGAACTATCTGAATTTTAAAATGTCAAATTGTAGAACTTTTTATGATTCAAAAAGCAGCAGGTTGATTATAATAGCTCTATTCGTAGTTAGTTTTCATATTTACACTTTTTAGTACAAATTTCAATAGCTCTAGAGATAGTTAGTTTTCGGATTTATATTGTTTTTAGTGCAAATTTCAAAGTGTAGTACTATGTACTATTTTTTAGAACATAGAAAATATTTTCTTTGTTTAAAATGATTATCTTGTTTGTATTTTTACTTTTGTTACAATTTTTACTAAAAATGAAAATTCACGGATGGAATATTTGTTTTCTTTATGAATATAGCTCAAATTTTGGAAAGAGAGGTCATTTTTTTGGTTTTGTGCTCTCAATGAAAGAATCAAGGTTAGGATAATGCAGCCTGCAAGACTTTAAGCACTACTAGTTGCATTATTTAAACCCATGACTTAACTTCACGAGGTGGTTTTTGCCCGTGGATTGCGAAATGTGGATAAATAATCGGTTTGCTCTTGATCTCTTGTTGTTTGACAAAGACTTGGGGTGATTTGTAACCAATATTTATACGAAGCAGTTGGACTTTTTAAACCACAGTTTTAACAACGGAGCTCGATACGATTCTCCTCGAGTAAAACTTTAATAGAAAATGAGCATCAAACTCAAAAGTATACCAATTTTTTATACTGGAATTTTCCAGTATAAAGCAGAATGTTAACATTATTTTTCCTTAATTATCACTTGCACTAAATTTTCAGAAAAAAAAAAAACTTGCACTACAATGCAAATAACATTATTTTCATAATTTTTATACCATGCTAATTAGTAGTGAAGACTGTGAAGTAGTATATAAAACGTACCAAGGAAGGTAGAGTCACTACAACCATTTTCCCAATGGAACTCTTATTCATTACGGACATAAAACATTCCACGTAAAAGAAGTTTTAAAATTATTGTCCAGTTTTTATTTTTAGTTTTAACATAATTACCTCCTCTCTTTTAAGCTCTGGTTGAATTAAAATGAAAATCTAAACTAGATAATAATTTCGAGATGGAAGAATCCTTAACTTCCTTAAAATTGAAACTTTGGGTTGATTTTTACTCGAATTATTTTCCCTTAATAAATGAAGTTCATGAGAGGTATTATTTGGGGAAAAAGGAAAAAGAAAATCAAAAAATGACCAATTCCTGAGTTTGACAAACAAGGCCAAAAAAAACGTTTTAATACCAAACCCAACAGCCAAAACCTCTTCTAATTTCATTCAAACCCAAAATTTCCAATTCCGTTCGAACATTCCTTCTCTCAAGCAATTTCAACTTCTGTTCATTTCCCATTCTCCTTTTCAATCAAACTCTTCTATGGAATCCATCAATTTCATAAAAGGCTATGGCAAAGTGAGCAATCCGTCGGAGTTCCAGCAGCAACCTCCATCAAAGCGACGTCGTACCATCGTAGCCGCTTCCATCCTCATCAGCTTAACCTTCATAATCGCGGCGTTGATCGGAACATTAATCCACCACTCCGTCACCGAAGAAGCGGCGGAAGAACCAGAGCACCGCCTCCAATCCGATCCCACCGACTCGCTCAAAATCGTCTGCGCTGTCACCGAGCACCTCGATTCCTGCATCAATTCAATCTCCTCCCTCAACGACCCGCCCAAATCCGACCCGGTCCACTTCTTCAACCTCTCCCTCCAGGTAACCCTCCGGGAGCTCACCAACCTCTCTTCCCTGCCGAAGACTCTGATCTCGAAGTCCAACGACGCCAGGGGCGACGGCGCGTTGAAGGACTGCGCCGCCCTGTTTGACGACGCGCTGAGCCAGGTGACCCAGTCGGCGGAGTTGATGAAGGCGGGGAAACGGGCGGGGGAGGAGAAGCTGTTGACGGAGATGAAGATCAGTGATATGCTGACGTGGATCAGCGCGGCGATGACGGATCAGGACACGTGTCTTGACGGGCTTGATGAGATGGGATCAACGGCTGTGGTTGAAGTCAGAGCGAGGGTGCAGAAATCTACCGAGTACATGAGCAACAACTTGGCCATTCTCAATAACTTGGGAAATCTTCTTGGTAAATTTGGGCTTCAGATGCCTTGATGGGAGCCCCCGCATTTGTTTTCTCGTCATCTTGAATTATTCAGACAAAAGAAAGGGGTAAATTGTTGTAATTTATTTTTTTTTTTAATCTTTTTTGGGGTTGGACAATTATGTTTTCATTTATTGATTCCGCGTGGAAATGGCCACTCATTGTATCATTATTTTTTTGGTTATGTCATACTATGTTCTTTTTTTGATAAAACGGAAAATTTCATTAGCAACGAAAAGTATTACAAGACTGTTACATAGTAGGCACGTCTATGACTTGCTCTACTTCATTTCTAGCTACTTTGATAATAGTACATTGACAAAATCTTTGCTTAAGTGAAATTAATTCAGAAACTAGAACTTGTGCTTCAACAGGAAAATCAAACTCACGTACCTTTGATTCTCTAAAGAGTTGCAGTCGGTATAAACTATAATTGTTGTCAATCCCCGATGTCATGCCTCTTCCATTGTTAATTTACAAGCAAAAACCTCTGCTGGTACTGCTGATAAAGTCGATATAGTTTGTGCCTTAATTTGTAGGACTGTTCCCTCAGTGAAATATATCTTCCATGCACACCGGCTTTGGTCGTAGTATTCTTAAAAGAACCATCACATAAAATGGCTGCTTCATGCTGTTGTATCGCGCCTCTGGCATGTGAACCCTCCTCAAGTGAAAAAGTCCGTTGGATTGAGCTGCTAAACAACTTTGCAGTATAAAATCCTCCCAAACTAGTATCCAAGTAGCATATGAGTCTCTAATCTTGTCCTGCCATACAACATGATTTCGTGCAATTCATATGTGCCAAATAACTTGAACAAACAAACTAACTTCAGCATTTGATGGAGTTTTGCAAAGCTAACTTTGAAATCAAGTTTGGAAATTTCGGGGAGAACCCTGATTGAAGTTGAACCCAAGTGTTGATACCTGTCAGTGCAACAGTTGAACAGAATATATACAATTAAGAAAGAGATGTGAAGTATCTTTATCCTGCTGTAAGCAGCGCGCACAAAGAGTGGGAATGTCAACCCCTACCCGTCTGAGTTCTGTTCGAGTAGGCAAGGCATTAGCCAACACTCTCCACGCCAATAATTTATACTTAGCAAGAATCACCAGCTTCCACAACCACTTCCACATTAACTTATCATCATTTGAGATATTTGTCAATTGACCAAATTTAGAATTCCATGCTTTATAGCCAGATCTCACTGTGTAAATACCATTCATCGATTCTGTCCAAACCACCCTATAAGGTTGATCACAAAGCTGAGGATTCACATATATACCTGTAATATTTTGTACTGTTGACCTTGGGAAAAGAACACTGAGCAGCTGTAATTTCTAGTTTCCTTGGCCATCAAGCAGATCTGCTACTCTCAAATTTATATTGGTGGGGAAAGAGGACATTGCAGAAATAGGATTAGCTTGATTCGGGATCCAGTCCTCAAGAAGTTGGATACTCCTTCCGGAGATAACTTGCCATTTGACGCTCCCACGTAAAAGATCAGCACCCCTCAAAATACCTTTGAAACCCCTGGATGCCCTCCTCACCTTTTCCAACTGCAACAGATTTTTCTTCTGGTAGTACTTACCATTGAAAACCCGAGCATGTAACGAGGAAGGTTGTGTTAAAATCATCCAAGCATGCTTGGCGAGCAATGCCTGATTAAGTTCTTTTGCTGTTCGTGGTCCTAGGCCACTATGGAATAAAGATGAGCTAAGCTTATACCATGCTTTCCAGTGCATACCACGATCTTCTTGATCACCATGCCAAATAAAGTGTGCAATAACTTTGTTTACTTTATCCAAAACTGAGACTGGAAATTTGAAAATGCCCATGGGATATGTAAACATCAATGATTGCGTGGATTTAGCTAGAGTAACCCGCCCAATGAGTGAAAGGGATCTGGTTTTCCAATCGGTGAACTTAAGCTTTAGATTTGTTTCAAACTCCTCAAAAACCTTTTTCCTGGACTGTGTAAAATCTAAATCCATGCCAAGATATCTTCCTTGTGTACCCCCTCGAGGAATATATAGTGTACAGTGAATATATGTATCCCAATGTGGTGGCGTATTCGGGCTCAACAGAATCGTAGACTTGTCAAAATTAATTCTTTGCCCAGAGAATTTAGCATACCTGTTGATTGCTCTAGCTAAAGCTTGAATTGGCTCCTCATGGCATTCCAAGAAAAATAGACTATCGTCGGCATACATAAGGTGATTGATCGATGGTGTTCGACGATTCAGTTTGATTCCCAATCCACGAACAACTGAAGCTTCATGATGTAGGGTGGCAGAAAGAACTTTTTGACAAATAATGAAGAGATACGGAGAGAGAAGACAGCCTTGTCAGAGATCATGCTTTAGCCTAAATGGTCTAGAACTTTCACCCGTTAAAATATAATGAAAAGGAAACACTCTTGACACAGCTCATTATCAGCCTGACGAGATGATGTGAAAAATCCATACGTACTAGCACAGCTTCCAAAAAATCCCAAGAAATCCGATCATACGCTTTACTCATGTCTAACTTAACAGCTGCCAACCCAGTGCATCCTTTCTGGCTGCGGATGTGTTGTATCAATTCATGACCAAGTAACACATTTTCACTAATGTGGCATCCTGGTACAAAGCCATTTTAGTGTTCATCTATCAAGCTTCCTATGACCTCTTTGAGCCGGTTGGAGATCATCTTCGCAATGATTTTATACTTGACGTTGAAGAGACTTATAGGTCTGAAATAGGCGGCCTGCGTTGGAACTGGAATCTTCGGGATTAAAACCAAATTCGTCTGATTCCATTCATCACTAATTTCCTGATTGTTTACTGATCTCAAGACACTTTCTATCACTGTGCCATGAATTTGATGCCAATAATGCTGATAAAAACCTGCAGGGATGCCGTCTGGTCCAGGCGATTTTCAAGGAGCCATTGATCGAATTGCGTCCCATACATCAGTGCTTTTGTATTCCTAAGTGAGGAGATCAACTTGTTCCCTGGATAATGCATTTTGCAGATGATCCAAAACTCTTGCGAGTTGTCTGTGCAACTTCCATCATGTGGATATGGATCAGGGTCCACATAGACTTGTGTGAAATGGTTCTGGATGACCTACCTAATTGCACCGGGTTCGTAAATCCACTCCCCTCGAGAATTTTGCAACTCAGTGATCCATTTGTTACCTCTATTTCTTGTGGCCCAGCTATGAAAACTTAGAGTTGATATCACCTTGTGTTGGCCACAACACTTTCGCCTGTTGTCGCCAATAGTCCTCCTGCAATTGTAATGTTATTTCCAGCTCCAATTTAGAAAGTGTCATAACTTCCTGACTGATACGATCATGCTGGTTCTGCTCCTATTTCAGTTGGTTATCTTGAAGAATAGCAGTAAGCTCTTTGATTCTTTTATCATGCGACCCATAGTGCTGCTGACTCCAAATTGTTGCTTCACGAAGACAATTTTGAAGACAAGTGGAGAGTATGCTCGCAGGTTCATGGTCTGCATTTTGTTCTGCTATCCACTCTTGACATACTATGTCTTTAACTTTAGGACATTTCACCCAAAAGGCCTCAAACCGAAGTGGTTTTTTCTTTACAAGGTGGCTGCCTTTTAACTCTAGTAGAATCTGGCCATGATCAGATTGCATAATTGGCAAATTCCTCAAATGTGCCTTGCGAAAATAATGAAGCCACTGCTGATTAACAAAAGCTCTATCTAGACGTTCAAAAATGGCTTGATCACCTTTTCTGTTATTAGACCATGTGTACCAACAACCAAGATGTCTAAGCTCTGATAAAGAGTGCTTATGAATGATATCCCACAACATGTTAGAGTCTCGTAACACTACATCCCTGCCTCCCCATTTATCCTCTTGAGTGAGGCTTTGATTGAAATCCCCCACAACAGTAGGGTAACTGGGACCCCTTAAGGAACCATCTAGCTCTTTTTAGACCTGATCTCGACCAGATTTCTGTGGATGGCCATACCAAAAAACTCCCAAACATTCTAAACCCCACTGCTCAACAAACTTCATTACTAGGAAACTAGAATTTACACACACAGTATTGACATTAACACCCTTCAACCAAAATAAACCAAGACCACTGCTTCTACCGCTTCTACCTACCAGATTAACTACTACACTATAAGAAAAAGAAGTACCTTGCAGCCATTGGTTAATTATAAACTCACCTACCAGTGTCTACATAAGGAATAAAATGTCAGGGCGATATTGTTTAACCAATCGCGCAAGTGCATGCTTTGTAGGAGCCCGCTCAAGGCCCCTACAGTTCCAACTTAGGACTCTCATGGCCGCTGCGATAGCTGATTTGGTTCAGCTACCGGGAAACTTACAGAGGAATTAATTTCATGTTGGTTACCCTCCTGATTACCATTCGTCCAGGAAATAAAGCCTCAGTAGAAATGCTATCACAATTAAGCCGTTTTTGAGGAATGTAGCAGGCTAGGTAATCACCTTTAAGCTCCCTACATCTCCTCTTGCTAGTCGCCCCAGACTCTCTTGTTGATATGACTTCCCTCTCCTTGAAGTAGCAGTGTTGTTGAGTAGTCCTGTTTTTGTCTTTCTTTCGCGCCAAACCTCTCCGTTTAAATAGGGGTCGGGACCTGTCTTGCATTGACATGATGCTATTCCAGGCCATAACCAGTAATTGTTTCACTTCATGGACTTTTTTCCCTTTCCTCTTGAGACGGCTAAAGCCCAAATTTGAGAGTAAATTGACCCCTTTAGATGTTAGACGACTCCTAAGCCCAGAAAGAAATTTTCCCATATCTACCAATAGCCCAGTCCATAAACAATTATTGGCAGCACCGCTTTGCTTGGACCCACAAGGTCATCTCTATCCCCAACCGTATTGACCACTGCTTGACCACAGCAGACGTCATCCGGACGCGAGTTTCCGATCATATACCATGCGAAACTGGTAGCATTGTCAGTTGATGATTGTTCCTTCCTACGCCACACTCTTGATTTCCGATCTTTACCAATGGGCCTTGAGGAGATAGCAGTAAAGCTCGTTGGCGTGGGGAGCGATGACAACCCACTCACCAGATCTGGATTGGCGATTCGTAGAGAGGAGCTCGACACCAAGCCTACAAAAAGGGCTATTGAAAGTGTGAGAGTAATTTTGGATTTCCATTTGGGGCGGCTACAGAGTTGATGTATCTCTTCCCCAGATTGAGCAGCCACTGACGAAGTTGATGTATGTTGATGAATATTAGCAATTCGGTTCTTAATTAATTCTGTCACCAGTACAGCCTTGGCGATTGGCCTTGATCTCAACGCTTGGATAATCACTGTTGAAATTTTGGCTTCCTGAAGCACATGGAGCGCATAAGGTACATATTTCGGCACTTTACCCTTGGCGGTGATGTGGATCTCGTTTTCCGCCAGCAGATTAGGATCCTTCATAATTTTTCAACCTCTTGGGAGGAAGTAAGTAGTGTGTGAGTATGTGTACTTTGAGTCATTGTGCTTTTGTGAAAGTGTGAGAGTAATTTCTGATTTCCATTTGGGGCGGCTACAGAGTTGATGTATCTCCTCCCTAGATTGAGCAGCCACTGACGAAGTCGATGTATGTTGATGAATACCAGCAATTCGGTTCTTAATTAATTCCGTCACCAGTACAGTCTTGGCGATTGGCCTTGATCCCAACGCTTGGATAATCACTGTTCAAATTTTGGCTTCCTGAAGCACATGGAGTGCATAAGATACATACTTCGGCACTTTACTCTTGGTAGTGATGCAGATCTCGTTGTCCGCCAGCATATTAGGATTCTTCATAAATTTTCAACCTCTTGGGAGGAAGTAAGTAGTGTGTGAGTGTGTGTACTTTGAGTCATTGTGCTTTTGTAAAAGTGTGAGAGTAATTTTGGATTTCCATTTGGGGCGGCTACAGAGTTGATGTATCTCTTCCCCAGATTGAACAGCCACTGACGAAGTCGATGTATGTTGATGAAAACTGGCAATTCTGTTCTTAATTAATTCCGTCACCAGTACAGCCTTGGCGATTGGCCTTGATCCCAACGCTTGGATAATCACTGTTCAAATTTTGGCTTCCTGAAACACATGGAGCGCATAAGGTACACACTTCGGCAGTTTACCTTTGGCGGTGATGTGGATCTCCTTTTCCGCCAGCAGATTAGGATCCTTCCTAATTGTTTAACCTCTTGGGAGGAAGTAACTAGTGTGTGAGTTTGTGTACTTTGAGTCATTGTGCTTTTGTGAAAGTGTGAGAGTAAATTTGGATTTCCATTTGGGGCGGCTACAGAGTTGATGTATCTCCTCCCCAGATTGAGCAGCCACTGGTCGATGTATGTTGATGAATACCGGCAATTCGGTTCTTAATTAATTCCGTCACCAGTACAGCCTTGGCGATCGGCCTTGATCCCTACGATTGGATAATCAATGTTGAAATTTTGGTTTCCTGAAGCACATGGAGTGCATAAGATGCATACTTCGGCACTTTACTCTTGGCGGTGATGCGGATCTCGTTGTCCGCCAGCATATTAGGATCCTTCATAATTTTTCAACCTCTTGGGAGGAAGTAAATAGTGTGTGAGTGTGTGTACTTTGAGTCATTGTGCTTTTGTGAAAGTGTGAAAGTAATTTTGGATTTCCATTTGGGGCGGCTACACAGTTGATGTATCTCCTCTCCAGATTGAGCAGCCACTGACGAAGTCAATGTATGTTGATGAATACCGACAATTCGGTTCTTAATTAATTGTGCCACCAGTACAGCCTTGGCGATTAGCCTTGATCCCAACACTTGGATAATCACTGTTGAAATTTTGGCTTCCTGAAGCACATGGAGCGCATAAGATACATACTTCGGTACTTTGCCCTTGGCGGTGATGCGGATCTCGTTATCCGCCAGCAGATTAGGATCCTTCATAATTTTTCAACCTCTTGGGAGGAATTAAATAATGTGTGAGTGTGTGTATTTTGAGTCATTGTGCTTTTGTGAAAGTGAGAGAGTTATTTTGAATTTTCATTTGGGGCGGCTACAGAGTTGATGTATCTCCTCCCCAGATTGAGCAGCCATTGACGAAGTCAATGTATGTGGATGAATATCGGCAATTCGGTTCTTAGTTAATTCCGTCACCAGTACAACCTTGGCGATTGGCCTTGATCTCAACAATTGGATAATCGCTGTTGAAATTTTGGCTTCCTAAAGCACATGGAGCGTATAAGATACGCACTCTTGGCGGTGATGCGGATCTCGTTGTCCGCTAGCAGATTAGTATCCTTCATAATTTTTCAACGTCTTGGGAGGAAGTAAGTAGTGTGTAAGGATGTGTGCTTTGAGTCATTGTACTTTTGTTATGTCATAAAAGGATTGGTTTGAATCTTATTCGTTGTTTGATAAAATGACAAGTTTTATTTATACTCTTTCGACCCAAAAGAAAAATTATTTGTTATTTTATAATTTTAATCGTTTTTTTATAGTAGGTTATTTTGTATTTGCATGTATTGCTAAATTGTCTTTGGTTAAAAAAAAATATATCCTAATCATTTTTCATTTTTTTGGAACAAATCAAGTACGAATCGGCGCATAAATAGAGATTTTATGGAATTTGGGCGCGGATCAAGAAATGTGAAACAATGCTGTTTGCCAATGTCAAAATTGTAACATTTTGATCAAGTGATGGGAATTCATTATTCACAAGCAAGCGAAAAACAGCATAAAATATTGGGCCAATCTGAATTTTGCTAAATTTGCAATTCTCCTTTCTCAAGTTAGGAGTCATTGAAATTAGCGATTATTTGTAAGAGCAGAATTAAGGAGATGGAGCGTATTTTTCCCAAACATTTCTTCACTAACTCGAGGAAGATGAATAGTAGTGAAAAATGATCAGTAAATGTAGCTTTGATTTCGAAGCAAAAATGATTTGTCTCTTAACTTTCGATCCTGCAAAAAGGATTCCGGCATCAATGATCAAACTTAGGCTGAGATAGTTAATGGATGAACCAAATGGGATTAAATGGACAAAGTATTATAATGGGTAACGAATCTGTATGGGTATTGGTACATAGCATTGTGGGCAAGCTAAGTCGTCACATGGGAATTTCATGCTCAACAAGGTCATAGTTTCCAAATGCCCAAGGCCAACTAAAACTTCGTATTAAAAAAAAAATGCCCAACTAAAAAAGCTTACTGTCGATTGAAAAATATTAAGACCCAGACCAAATTAAATATCTTACTATTAGAAATGGTCATTATTTTGGTTTCAGACTTAGTTTGATTTTTTTTTTTTCTTTTTTTTGGTGACGGTTGGCTCAATAGTAGGGGTTTTGACACTTATCCGCAGTGATACGGGTTCGAACCCCCACGGGAGCGATTTATCGCTTAGCATGCTTTCTTACAGGATAGGAGGCAGTAGCAGCCAAAGGAGGTACTTTCAAGAGTGGACATGTGAACTGGACATGCATGTGTAGTCTTCTCCGTAGTAGTACTATCCTCTTCTCTCATAGACCCTAAGTTGGTTCTTGTCATTTATTTTTTCCCTTCTTGAAAGAAGAAGTTTTGATTCTTTTTATTTAGTGATTAAATTAATTTATATTAAAAAAATGATGGAAAAAATTTAAAACTAAAATGATCTAAAAAATAGTGCATTAACCCAAAATGGTCAGTGGTGGAAACTTGTTCATTTTTAATTATATAATTGAAGAGAACTCAAAATCTGTCGTGACTAGAGAACAAGTTCAAATCTTTTGACTAACCTTTTCATCATCAAAATACTTGAAATAGCGAAAATCAATCAATATTACTAAAAATGACACCTATTATGTGAAAGAAAATTAGTTTTATATACACTCTTGATGGCATTGTATTCCTCACATTTGCCTAGAGAATACACCGAAAATATTACTTCCTCTACTTTTTTTTTTTTTTTTTCATAAGAATATTTGGACATGAGTTGTTCCTTTACAAAAGAAAATTTCGATTTTCAAAGAACCATCTGATGATTTTTCTCTATCTTTAATCTTGCAACAGTCCAACTCTTGAATCACTTCAACAACTATTATTAATATCATAAGAGTAATTCGGATAATTGTAGTAACTTTGAGAAAAAATAACTACAATTAATTTTATTGACATGGTAAAATTAGTTATTGATCTCTTATCAACATGAATTGAGAGAGTATTTGTCAGCATCATCGATGGCAAATATAATGTTTGCAAGCATTGTGCTAGTTTACTGCCGTATTCTTGCAATTTGCAAATCTATCTATAGTATTATACTAAGAGAGAAACCAGAGAGGGAATAACAATTACAATAAAGGTTCTTTGAATTTCTAGAAAAATAATAGTTACTTCATTACACAATTAAAGTATAATGATAACATGCTGTGGTCAAACTGGTAAAGAAATTCGGTGATAGGAAAATCCTTAAAAGGGATCAAAATAGATTCCGATCAAAATAAATTCCATTTTCGGTGATTATCAATTAGCATTTAATGTAATTTTAAATTGTAGTTGCCGGATGATCTGATTACCAAAATGCTTATTAGTGTTGATGTATTTGTATGGTTTTGATTTGGTGGGAAGAATCTACATTGAATCGCATTAAACTTGATTATTTTAATTTTAAATTAAGGGAAAATTTATAGATGGAATTGCACGATTTTTGCAATTTTTCCGTAAATGAAGCATCATTCAATGTCAATTAAAAAAAACGGAGAAAATTGCGGAGTTGGAGAAGTGTATGACTTGTGGAGATCGTACAAATAAAATTGAGAAAAGAGTGAAGACGAATTAATTGATGTTCATGATTAATTTGGATGAATCAATGTTAGTATAATTTTTCATCTTTTTTATTATTTTGCAATTGTCTTTTTTGCAAATTAATTTAATAGTATTGATTACTGTTATTTTTTTTAAATATTTTAATTATCCGAGTGGTAGCAATTCGTGTGGTTACAAAATTAAGAAAGCAATTATAAAAATAATGAATATACAACTAAATTGGATTTAAATACATACATTAAAAATTTCAAGGGTCCGATGAAGATCATATATGTACTACATTCTTTTACGTGTTCTTTTCTTTCTTTTGACTCTTATTAATTGAAGATCATACATGTACTATTATAGATACTAGTATGTGTTCCGCGCTTTGCGCGGGTTTGTTAATGTTGAAAATTTATCTTTCGAAAAAATTAATTAGATAATTTAGTTGCTAATATTTCTTAAAACCGTAATATTTTTTTGATTAATCAATTTTAGATCAAAATGAGAGGTATTGATATTATTTATGAGATGTATATTTGTAAGATCTGGCCAAAAATATTACAACAAAAATTTTGAAAAGTTGTATAATAAAAATTGTCACCACTAACTAATATTATGTTTGGATAAAAAAAATATATTTAAAAATGTACAAATTATGTCTAGATGTCTATGGCTT